ATATATATATATATACATATCTCTGTAGATCTATGTGCCTGGAGGTTCCAGGTTTCAGTGTAAAACCTGCAAGCGCAACGTCCACTGAGGTACAGGGTTTCTGTTTCAGGCGTTTACGGTTTAGTCCGTTCTGTGGCTAGAGGTTTTGTGGGTCCACATTTTGCTTAGAAAATGTACACACCATGAGGGTAGGGCCTGCGAGGGTAGTGGATGCATATAGGGCTTGTGAGAGTAAATGGTGGGATTTGTGAGAGCGCTGCGAGGGCAAGGGCAAGGCTTGGGAGGTATAGCACTTCAAGCTGTTGCAGTACATGTCTTATTGACGCGTGGCTTGCGCAGCCGCGTGCTCTAGGCAAAAGTTTTTTAGTAGGAGAGACCTGTGGATCCCCAGGGGTTTCACGCACAGCTTCGTAACTTTAAAGTCTACACGAAAGTTTTGGTAGGAGACCTGGCACCCTGTGGGTTTCATGTAATTTCGCACCGTGAACTACATATGACTGCATTATGTGTATCTACTTGCCTCTTTGTCTGTGGCTGCTGCGCAAGCAGCAGTTTTCTGGGTGTTTTGGTAGCCCCCTGGTGCTGCGCTACGCTGATGGCCGGGAAGGCCTGTCTGCCTGTTACATGTGTGCATCTTTGTGTTCCTGGCTTGTCCTTGCTGGTTGCAGGGCAAGAGAACAGCGGCTGAGAAGGAGGGACAGGAGCAAACAAGCGAAGTTTCACGTGCTGTTGGCGCAGGGCACGCTGCCAGAAGAGCTTCGCAAGGAGTGGGAAGCCCTCTCGACCGGCAAAGCCAAAACCGAGCTGGTGAACAACAGCATCAGTCGCGATGATGTTACGGGAAAGCTTAGCCTCTCCTGCGACAAGGCCCAGCTTTCGACGTCGACAGCCTTGGTGTCGGACAACAAGCTGTCCCGCCAGAACAAGGCGCTGGGCAAGACGCTCTTTCAGGCCAAGTTTAACTTGTCGCACCGTTCTCAACGGCGAGGTGGATGTGGTGAAAGACGAGGGCCGCTACTACTGCAGCTGGGTTGCGATCAAGCAGTCGAGGACTGAGGGCAGTGCCACCCACGGCTCGGTCCAAGGATCGACGGGAACCTGCAGCCCGGAGATGGCCAACAAGCTGTCCAGCATCTGACCTTCAACCTCCAGTCCGTGCAGGGCCTCGACGACGCGCCCGAGGAGCAAGCGCAGCCCAGTGGCTTCAAGAAGGAGGGCTCAGCTTTGGCGATCGAGGATGCCAAGTCCGCGCCTGCGGAGTCGCAGGCTTTGTCCGACAAAGAGTGGGAGGAGGCCAAGGGCCTCCTGCAGCAAAGCAAGGACGCCATGGGCAAGCTGCTGAAGGCGCAGCTGTGGCGTTGTGTGGTTATTTGCGGAGCGCATTGCGGTTTTTTGTTGTTTCAGAAGAATACTTGTCAGGACTCCGCCCGGCTGTCTGAGAAGGTGACCAAAAACACGGACGACGCCGTGAGTTTGGAGTTGCTTCTTGGCAGCCTTCTCGTGTGTGGCTGCGCCTGTTTTTTCCTCGTCTGAGAGTAGAAGGGTTTTGCGAGTGGAACACTGAAGCCTGAACCCTTGGTCCTGTCAACCCGAAACCCTAAACCTTTAAACCTTAAACCCTAAGGTTGTGTTTTTTTCCTCGTGTGAGAGTAGAAGGGCTTTTCGAGTGGAGCACTACATCCTGAACCCTGGGTCCTGTCAACCCGAAACCCTAAACCTTTAAACCTTAAACCCTAAAGTTGTGTTTTATTCCTCGTGTGAGAGTAGAAGGGTTTTGCGAGTGGAACACTGAACTCTCAAGCCTTGGTCCTGTGAACCCGAAACCTTAAACCTCTGAACCTCAAACCCTAAACCCTGAACCCTAAACCCCAAACCCCAAACCCTCAAGGTTGTGGTTTCAGTACATTCAAGAACTGGGAAGGGTAGGGTTCAGGGTTTAAGTAAAGAGACTGCTAAGATTTTAAACCCAGCAACTAGCAGAAATCTCACAACCCTCACAACCCATAAAGCCAGCAACTATCAGAAATCTCACAACTCTCACAACCCATAAAGCCTAGAACTAGCAGAAATTTCACAACCATCACAACCCATAAAGCCAGCAACTATCAGAAATCTCACAACTCTCACAACCCATAAAGCCTAGAACTAGCACAACCCTCACAACCCATAAAGCCAGCAACTATCAGAAATCTCACAACTCTCACAACCCATAAAGCCTAGACTTTTCGTGCTGTGCCCAGGAAGAGCCTCGCGCAAAAGGTGAACGAGAGCCGGGCGGATCACGTTTTGTTGCGGCGAGAGCTGCCTGGCTCGACAGGGCCCTTGACCGCAAAGTGCTTGGACGCGTTCTTGCAGGGGAGAGGACCGAAGCCCAAGCAGGTCTCATGTGAGCTATAGGCTAAACTCCTAGCATCCCCCTTGATATCCCATAAAATCTTCCGCTATATAACCCCTTATATATTTCCCATTAAGGAGTTGTCACTCTATAGCTCATGTGTCTCGTAGAGTTATATAACCCCCTATATATTTCCCATTAAGGAGTTGTCACTCTATAGCTCATGTGTCTCGTAGAGTTGCGCACGACGCAGAAGCTATATGTGTGTGCTTGGGAAGGATCTCTGGTGGAGCAGAGGTACGAGAAGCTGGCTGGGGTCTCGGGCCAGCTGCAGGCCAGAGGACTGTGAAGTTTACCAAACCTGCGGAGGCCGGAACAGCCAACAGTTCTTGTGGCCACGCGGAGAAGGTATATGCTTGCATGTGCTTGGTGGCAGAGGTGTCGGTGCGCCGCCATGACAGAAAAGCACAGCTGCGGGGAAGCGCGACGGAGAAAAACAGCGTTGACCTTCCAGCCCTGTCTTTGCAACCCATGCCATACCATGCGCGGAGCGGGTGTCTGTGTCAGAGCGAGAGCGAGATCTGAAACCCGTGAGAGTAGGATCTTGTGAGAGTGATAGTACAGTATCGTATGTATACTATGCCTAAACCCTAAAGGCCTAAAACCTGAAAACCTCAACCCTAAGTAGGATTTTCTGACTAAAGATACAAACTTGTCAGGGGGGCATCATGCTTGTACGTGTAACAAAGGATTTCAACGAATCAGCAGGGCAGTTGTGACTTCACACAAGCTTGTCAGCAAGCATGTCAGGGGGGCACCATGCTTGTAGGTGCAACAGGATTTCAACGAATCAGCAGGGCAGCTGTGATTTTTGGACAGTAGTCAGTGGCCCATCCTTGCTTTTACGCCTGTAGATGGCCTTTCTGGGTCACAGTGATGCCGATGCCCTTGTCAAGGTCCCAGCCTGTTGTTTAGAGCTTTCCTACATGAGTGCAGATATTCCAAATGTTACCCCAAATTGTTGCAAGCAAATGTAGCTTATGAATCATGTCTAATAGAAGGCTTCCGGCAAGGCATGTTCAACAGTCTGGAGTTCGTATCACCGCTCTATACACTGAGATACGGCTGCTCCCAGAATCTACAACCCACAGGTGTGAATCTACAACCCTAATATCCAATACCCTGCAAGTATAAGCATGCCATTCTGGTAGCAGCTGCACTTGTGAGATTAAAAACCATGGCCGAGTTCACTGTGCCTGAGCGCAAAAGAAGGAAGACAACCGTTACAGTATACCCTGAACAACTTGAGGAAGGCCGCCGTGAAAAATGTGCAACTCGACCATCTCGCGCGAGGAGAAGCGCATGTTGCATGACGGGCGGGCTTTCAAATGGCGCAAATCCGACGGGCATGCTGCGTGGGACGAAGTTCCGAGTGTGGTGGACAGCAGACGTCCCCGGATTGTTCTCTGTCCGGATGCGGGGAGTCCGCTGTTTGCGGCCTGGCAGTTTCTCTTCTCCAAGGGTGCTCTGATGCATCTCGCTCGTGACGAATTGCAACTCGATTTCCATTTTTTTTGTGGTTTCAACGATAAGACCACATTATCTGTCTCTGATTTTCTTGAGGCACAAGTTGCAGACGCGTCGCCTGAGATCCCTGCACTGCACCCCCGGCATGAAGCGTGGCTTGGCTTCTCTGATTTGATGCTTGCATGTCTAACCTATCGCCTTGTTTGTTTCAGGCATGTATGCTCTGACAAGCTAGCTAGCTAATAAACAAAGTATGTCCTTGTTGACCCAGTGCCCCGTTATCGTCAGGCCTCAATCGATGACACCTTGCAGCAGATTTTCTCCGAAGCCATCTTAATGGAGCCCCCCTATATATTCCCCTTTAAGGAGTTTTCACTTTATAGCTCATGTGTCCCGGAGAGTTGCGCACGACGCAGAAGCTATATGTGTGTGCTTGGGAAGGATCTCTGGTGGAGCAGAGGTACGAGAAGCTGGCTGGGGTCTCGGGCCAGCTGCAGGCCAGAGTAATGTGAAGTTTACCAAACCTGCGGAGGCCGGAACAGCCAACAGTTCTTGTGGCCACGCAGAGAAGGTATATGCTTGCATGTGCTTGGTGGCAGGTGTCGGTGCGCCGCCATGACAGAAAAGCACAGCTGCGGGGAAGCGCGACAGAGAAAAACAGCGTTGACCTTCCAGCCCTGTCTTTGCAACCCATGCCATACCATGTGCGGAGCAGGTGTCTGTGTCAGAGCGAGAGCGAGATCTGAAACCCGTGAGAGTAGGATCTTGCGAGAGTGATAGTACAGTATCGTATGTATACTATTCCTAAACCCTAAAGGCCTCAAACCTGAAAACTTCAACCCTAAGTAGGATTTTCTGACTAAGGATACAAGCTTGTCAGGGGGGCATCATGCTTGTACGTTTAACAGAGGATTTCAACGAATCAGCAGGGCAGAACCACGAGCACGTTCTATGGGTGAACCGGCAGAGAAGCACGACCAAAGTCCAATTTGGGGAGGGATTGAGGGTTGACACCAAAGCGTGCAAACAGAGCTTGCACGTCTTTCCCCCGCCCTAACGTACTGACAGCCTCGTACATGGCTGCCTCGTTCATGAACTCGGAAGTCGTGTGCCTCTTGGCACAAGACTGCTGAAGCTTGCTGAGAAAGCTTGTGACCATGCTAATGATCAGGCTGTCAGCACGTAATCCTCCTGCTGCCACAATGGATGCCAGTTGTATGTCTTGTTCGTAGACTTTGCCCTTCGCAATGGCGCCCGATAATGAGGCGGCCAGGGCAGCGTGAGCCTCTGCCTGAGAGTCCTGATGATGAAAGGAGTTGGTCTCTACCAAGTTGGCATCCAGCCACGCTCGCATGCTAGGGGAGATACGCCAAGAGGGCACGCATGTGATTTTGCGCCGTATCTTGCCAATAATCTCAACTTTCGAGGCAGCTTTCGTGAGAGCGCTCAAATCCTGACCAGCCAGGCCTGACACGTAGTAGTCGGCTTGCTCCATGGACTTCCGCAGCTCTATGACCTCCTCGGGCGATGCATGGAAATACGCCCAAGCAAGGCGAACAAGATCGATGTGGTACGCCTTTCCTGCCAGGCGGCGGCAAAATGCCTTGTCCTTGACTAATGCTTTGCAATGCTTGCAGGCTACATCCACGCGGCGACAATCCCTGGCACAGTTGGCAGCTTTGACTGCGATAGTGGAACATGTCGAACCCACACACAAGAACTGACAACCTTGCAGAGGATCGGACTCAGCCGGAGGCGACATGAAGACGGTGCGTGGCTGACCTGCTTGGAAGAACTTGGTAGCTGAATCCGGCAACGTTGGTGGCACAGCGCCGGGGCATGTGTAGGCAACTACCTGAGCAGGCGCTTGAAGCACAATAGGCACGACCTGCGCAGCATCGCTGTCAGCAACCCCACCTGTGTCGCCAGCATCCTGATCACGCAGAGCCTCTACAGCAAGCTCTGGGCGCAGCTTGCGCACACCTTTCTGGCGCGTCTCTGACCTCTCATGTTTGTCGATCTTTTGCTTACATGTGGCGCTGGTGAATTTGATCTTTTTGCCGCAAGCCCGGCAAAAGTACATCACATCTGATGAATAGGTTTTCTCGGTTGGATCATAACACCATGAGCGCTCTTGTGCGATGAAAATGTGGATACTCCACCTGTCACCAGCTTTCTCGCTTTTTTTGGGCCTCCCCCTTGAGTGCACTTGCCTACCCTGCACGATCGCCTGATTCGCCTGCGAACCTTCCCCCTCAACTGGCACAAGCTGCACATTGCCTGGGGCTTGCCTCGCAGACGACTCGGAATCTAAGACCTTCGCCTTTAACCTGCGGCAAGTGGCACACGCAAGAGCTGGCACCTTTGGGAAGACGTCAGGAGTCGCAGTGAAGGCGACCACACGCAGAAAGGCGTGCCAGTGACCACTCTTACAATCAGCCTCGTCGCCGACGTGCTCCTATTGGAAGTGCAGCAACCCAGC